TTCTAACATTTCTACCTTAAAAATTCTCCAAGTGACTACCTCTGCCAAGCTGAGTCTGAATCTCACCACTTTGCCTAGCTGGATTTTAGTTGGAAAGTAAAGAAATTTGCTATAATAATACAAATCCACAAGTCATGTTATACCAGTAGAGAAGCGTTTCAGTCTAGTACTTGACTTAAATATCAGTATGAACACAAACATATTGGCCATTTTGTAATTATATAGAAAAGTTCAACTGAGTAAATTGCTTATGATTTGGATATCTCGCTCCCAACCATTTCTATCTTCTAAATATTTTGTATACTTTAAGTATTCATTCCTCTTCTTTGTATGCTTTTTCTTTTTTTTTCCTGCAGATAGAATTATCTCCGTGCTACTTGCTGACTATAAGAATCATAAGAGCGAGAAATATCCGCCAGGCAGATGTCTGTGAGTATCAGTAGCATTCTGTACAATCCCTTTGACCTGTTGGACTAGCTGGGCCTGCTCCAAGGCAAAGGGCTTTCTAGATTTCTGCTGTGGATGGAGAAAGTCCCCTCACAGGCATACTGTTTTCAGCAATGAGCATGGCTGTTGGTCCTATTCTTTATTTTAGCCACATTCTGCATGCCAGTGCAGAGGTCACTGAACAGGGTTTCAGTTGTACGTGTTCCACAAATTTCTCTGCAACCCCAAAGAGAACGGGCAAAGCAGTTACTGTAGTCTTTTGAAAGCAAGAACTATGGGAAGGTCTCCTGTGGTTTCCCCTGGAATATATTCATGTAACAGAAGACACAAACTGGTTGGAATAAGGGAGCAAACACTGACAATGAAATAACCTTATCTCAAACTATATATTCAAAGCTTTCTCATAGGTAACTAGTCCAAAGTGGTGGGGTGCCCACCCCAATTCCCCGAGAACTAACTTTCCCAGATAAAGCCCCATTAGGAATTGCTGCTTCTTGTAGGTTCATTTCTGATAGCTCACATCTGAATTATAGAAGAAGATTATAGCTTTACCTGTGCAGAAATCGAGAAGCGTTTTCCTTGTCTTGTTTTTAAATGTTCTGTCATCTGGCTACAATCAAAGCAATCGCTTTATTTCCTTAACACTTGCAGAAACAAGGAGATATGCTGTCTCAAACTACTACTTGAAGGAAAGGCTTGGAAAACTACCCTCTGTTATGTGCTCTTCATACCTAATTTTACACTCCTTCCTCTTCATTTTTCCAAGCATCTCTTGCCCTTCTTGGTTAATGTGTTAGGATACAATTCTCACAAATCCCTACAGGTAAAACGATATATTATTGCAGCTTTGACCTTGCACTTTGTTCCAAACTACAACAAAACTAACTCATGACCCAATATCCTAACACAAATATCCCATGCAATTTCCTTTCAAACCTGTGGACAAAGTCACTATGACCTCATTAGCTAGTAGTTCCTAAGTATTAGTAAACCCACAATGCAATTTGTTTTTTTTCAAGCATGTACCTGTGTCTAAATTATTCTGCTTGCCTTTCTGTAGTGCTAAAACTCCTCAACAGTAACTTATGTGTGTATTTATTTGCGCTATGCATTCCCACTTCCACAGTTCCACTTTGCTGGTTTCCCTGCAACTGTCCCTTTTGCAAGAGCTGAAACTGGCTCCCAAATCTGAAAAATACGCCACAAACAATCTGGCATTCCAAGTGATGGAACAGGTGCCACCGAATTATTTTTCTGTTCTGGGCTTAATTGATTGACTGATGATGTATAAGGAGAAAACCTTTTGTTTATAATGCATTTATTATATCTCTAATTGTATTTATTCAGAGAAGAATCAGGTCCCTCTTCTTTTTTCTCCATTCCTGTTATCTGACCTGTAACATTTATGTTGGACAAATATGACATCAGGTATCATAATATCTCTCTTTTAGAAAACAAAACTTCATGTTGTTCAGTTCATTCAGTCTTCTAGAGTAAATTCTCATTTTAGATGTGTTTGTGTTTTTCTAACATACAGTAAGCCAGACTGATTGCTACGTGAGCCTGTGGCTGCCAACTGCTTCAACTGACAAATATCAGACTAAAACCATCAAGAATTGCAAAGATCCAGTTTGGAATGAAACCTTCTTCTTCAGAATCCAGGGTCAGGTCAAGGTACAGAGCAGAGACTTCCCTGTTAACTGCAATCCACGGAGCAACCACCAGGTTTCATTCTTTTGCAAAGGGGACATAAGTAATTTTCCTGAGAGGCAGAAAAAGATGGAGAAATATGTGAGAATAACACATGTCTTTGTGATGTTATTCCATGCCAGGAAAGACAAGTATATTATTCAGCCACATGTAGACGATGACCTTTGCGATGTCTCTAATCTCCTCATTCCTCCTCATAGCTAGACAGGTGCATGCAATTTACTTCTCTTCCACCTCCCTTCCTTCCTGCTCTCTTTCATTCCTTCCTCCTACTCCTTGCAAAAGCTAAATAAAAAAACTATCCACAGGATCTTCTGCTTTGAATGAAACCGGTCGCATTTCTAAAGTCTTTCCCTTCCCTTCCCAGAACGTTTTGGAGCTGGGGCTCTATGATAAGGATGTCGTTACTGGAGATGATCACCTCTTCACGGTGTATTTTGATATAGCGAAACTTTCCCTGGGAGAACAAGTTTTCATGCACTTCAAGTGTGATACACAGGTGAGGTCTGACATAAGAAATGGAGTTGGTTAACAAGAACATTTTCATCTGCTTTTCTGTCTAAAATGTTATTTGCAGCATTTCTTTTTTCCTTCTCATGTATGGATTGCCCAGTTACATAAAAGAAAGTTGTTTTTCGCACTGACTTGGGAAAGCCTTTTCAATCCTGGATCTGCAGGCACAGTGAAGAGTTTTGGGTTGATATGTTTGGTCACAGAGGCTAGCAAACTTTGCAAAGTTGTCTCTTTGCTGAGCCTGCCCCCATGGAGGATCTTAGAGGAGTTTGTCCATACCAATAAAAGTCACATGACGCTTTTTGTCATAACTTGTTACTTAACCTAGTAATTAGCAAGTGATGACTCTGCAATGGGACCCAAACGTCGAACCAAACTAGAATAAAAATAGTTGCTAATTGTAGGCTGTGACACGCGTGTTCGAAGAAGGTGTCTAAATCCCGTCACTCGACTTGCCGACATGAAATATTCCTATTTAGAACGTCCAGAGAAGCTTTGAAAGTCACACTTGAAAATTTGGGGTCTATATTGTACAGTCACTTCTGAAATGATAAAAGATGACATAATGTGTAGCCGCACAGGAGGATCATCCGAGCAGAGTGCTGGGCGTTAAGGCCTTTACTCAGTGTCCAGCTGCGCTGCCATTACCAATGCTGAGGTGCAGAGAGAGGTGAATTTTCGTTACTCACCTCTGTGGAGAACCTTCATGGGCTGTTAACTTCTACCAGAGAGGCCAAAACAACAACAGCCAGGACGTTAGGACTGAAATAAAGCCCTGCCTCTGTTAGCTGTACTGGGAAGCTCATGTAAGGAGGGATGTCCTCTGCCACTAGGAAAACCCTCTACCCTGTGTGAAAAGCACAAGGAACATGGATGTGTCCTCTGGCTGAAGAGGCTGCTGACTCCATGCCTTGTCACTGATCTGAGCTGCATGCAGGTCCATCACATCAGCCTTCTTGCATGCATGTGGGTGACCTGGGACATCAGCGCATAACGTCTAGCCAGCCCCATGTTAAGCTCGGGAGCAGTACTGCATTACGCAATAAATGCCAAGTATGTATCTTGGGGATCTCTGCCCTCTGCTGGGAAAGATGAAGCCTGCAATGAAAACTGTAGGTGACTTTGCAGAAGTTTCTTGCATGTTTAGAGGCCTAGTACAGCACCTTGGTAGGGCTACCCTGGAGCAGACAGTTCAATGATGTTCGGTATCAGTCCAAAGAGAAGGAGGCTCTTGAGGAAGCCATTGGTTTCCCGCAATATGCCTGAGACAGCAATGATGCTGACCAAAAAAATGGTGTGAATGTACTCTTGGCTGCTGCTTCTAGCTATTTATCCACATCACTGGCTACTTTGTTCCTTTGCTGGCTTCCCAGCTCCTTGGCATAGCACAGTGTGGTTGTTCAGCTATTAGCTGCAATTTACCTTTCCGGAGCCTGATTCTGAACTCATGTTAGCCAGAGGGCAAGCTCCCCTCAGCCTTGTCCAGCAACACTGGTCTTCTCAGGCTGGTTTCTTTGTTTAGGGACACCAGTAAATGCCTGGATAACCATGTTCTAGCAACCAAATACCAGGATCGAACAACCGGAGCCGAAAAGATGAAAAGGCACATCCCATCTTCTTGTACTTTCAATCACTCCCTCTCCTTTTCCAGTTCCCTCCTGTTTTCTTGTGTGTCTGTCATTCACCGTTCAGTTGGTTAATTGCCTTATCTACACACACCCAGACTCCTCTCTGCAGTTCGTTATCTTTAAATGCCTTATTTGAACACTCCTTTCACTGCAAAATACCAGAGGAGCAGTGTGTAGACTTCCACTAGCCCTTTCATGGAGCAGAAACATTCTGCCTGTTATAATCTAGCGATTATTATCTAGGTGGTTATGGGTGGCATATCCAAGCCTTTCATTACTGCATTTGCACAGCTGCAGTAGTTAGAATTCATACTTTTCAGGCCTTCATAACACTGTTTTATCCTGTATTAGGTACTTTTGGATGTCTTTAATGCAATAAGTACTTTTGCCCCTGCTAAGCACGATTAACGCGGAGTACAATTCTTCTGTCTTCTATCAAGGAACTCTGCTCTCCTTCACTACTGGCAGATAAGGCCTTAATATTAGATATACCTTTGCTTCTATGCCCCCAGCATGTTGCCAAATGAACTGGTTATCCTCTTCCACAGCTGCTTTGCATGTTACCATTTCTCTTTCTTGCACCAGAAGGATTTGGCAGTTCCTAGCAGGAGACCCTCTTTCTCTTCTCACTGGCGGACTGGTAGACTGAGACAGCATCTCAGTCTGGTCTGTCCCCTATGCACCAGGGGCTCCCAGCAGAAGCAGGCAAGCTGACTTCTTTGTGAAATCCTGCTGTTGCTGACACGCAGAATCTTTGTATCAAAAAAACAATCTTGAGGCTCAAGACACGCATGAGTAGGATGGCAGGCATCGATATTTTACATGCTCTGCCAGTCATGAATAATGCATGCACACCTACCTTATGAGAAAGAGAACTTGCATTATCAGAACTTCCAGTAGACTCATCACAAAAACTTTTTTTTTTTCCCCAGAGAAAAGAGGAGCTGGAGGTCGGATTTGCATTGGATAATATGTGAGTAAATGTCAAAAGTAATATAATCTGCAGCAAAGAAACCCCAACAGTTCAGAGGCGTGAAATCATCTAACATAATTGTCCAGAATACAGTGTTCCTTGATGATGTTGACAGCAAACATGGTTTTCCATGGAATCTGTGGCATGTGCTGTCTGACTAATTAGTGCATGCCAGGATGATCTTCCATGAACTTTAAGCAGACAGGCAGAATTCCCTAAAATCTCTTTTTTAATATTTTTTTTTCTCTCCTGTAATGGATATTGGTTAAGACCAAATTACTGGGCCTGGTGTTCATTTTAGCTTCCTAGTTTGCCTTTGAGACTAGCTAGGGGATTTGCCTCCCTTCATAGTATAACAGTGCACTGGAACACTGCACCAAATTTTGATCTAGAGCCCTTTCTGTCCAGTCGGCGGACACGCTGCAATTCTGAAAAAGCTGGATTCACTGAAGTCATCTACAGTCTCAACTTGGGATTTACCAGAAAAACATCACTACATGGTTTGGCCCTATAGTACTTTTATTTTGCTGAGCTCCAGGACGGGAATAGCTAGTACGATGATGATTATGCCCTGACAGGGAACCATGAGGAGGCTTGTACTGCAGCTCTCCTGGAATTTTTTGTTCAGATCCAAAACACAACTGGAAATAAGCAAGAGTAAAATCAAGAGAAGGGTGTGACTCATGAATTATACTGTAATTACATCGACTTGTTAAAAATGTAGTTTTCTTTCTGTTTCGTAGTTCAGGCCCTCCTGAAACCATCATTACTAATGGAGTACTAGTGGTGAGTGTTATGTTTTGTCATCTTTCTTGTCCTGTTGCCACACTTCTTTCACTTGACTCACAGTCATCATGCCAACATATTCTTTGAATAAGCAAGACTAGCACTGAAACAATGTGATTTCCCTCTTTATCATCTGCCTTATGATACATCCTCATGCATGTCACCTACGGAGAGGTTGTGACTGGAAGAGCTGTAGGATTCCCCATGCTAGTGTTCCTCCAATACTGCAAAGACAGCACAAGGAAGGGATTTAGGTATGAGCCCTATTGTACGAGGTACCTTACAGTGAAAGACACAGATATGGGTGTAGTTGTGAGCTGTCCCTTGGATATTGTTGCTCCAGAACTCCCTGTATTGCCAAAGAGACGGAGTTTCTCCTGTCCTGAGTGCACGCCATTTCCTGCGTTCATGCCTGCACATTTCACGCAAGGACTTTCTGACCATGGCACTTGCTCCTTTATTAGCTTTGCTTCCTCAGTATTTCTGTTTAAATTAGTCCTTTGCATCTCTGTTAGGATCCTGAGAGTGCTGTTATTTAGCCTGCCCTTACCTGCTCCGTTGTGCAAGCCCTGTTCCTCCACGCCATAGCCACCTGCCTTTGCAGTGGCTGCATCTGATTTCTCAGAGACTCTTTCCATCTCAGCAAGAATCTGAAAGCAGAGTTGCCTTGAGGGACAAGTTTTTCTCAGGAAACTAAGTGCACAGCCTATATGGCACTCATATCAGCAGTAAGAGGTTAGGGAAGGAAACACAACCTCAGACTGAAAATTTCTCTGTCAGGAAGTATTTTATTGTTCATGTCTCTTACAGTCTCGCAAAATCTGCTGCTTGGAAGTTCAGGTGGTTGAGAAGAAGAAGAAAAAGCAGAAGAAATCTGTATCAAGTGAGGTTATTTCTCTTTCAGCTGTGTTTAAATCATGAGATGCTAATATTATGAAGGCAATTGGCTAGTCTTGTCAAAAGATTAGAAAAAAACCACATCCCAAATATGAGAACAGCCTCCTAATAGATTTTGTAACTAGTTTTGTTTCAAGGCAGATAATAAAACTGTTTTGTGTCTGCTTTTTATCACTTATTTAGAAAAAGAATTCTTCTTCAAAGTGAAAGGATCTTATGAGGACACTCAAGACATCACACTGGGATCTGACCCTGTCTTTAGCTCTGCAGCTCCTGCCACTTTCCACTACGCCAAATATAAGCAGCCAACACTCGATGTTACACTACCAGGGAAGAAACCTCATTCCTCCATTGTATGTTTTAACTGGATTTAGTAAAACTTACTAGTGGCATGTAAAATAACGTGCACCATAAATAGTAACGTTAATCTGTCTCTGTGGAAAGAGAGTAACATTTCTGATGATATAAACTTGGATATATTTTTCAGCACTCCTGCTTGTATGATAGAAATGCAGGCTCCCCAGCTGTGGAACTTCATTCCCTTCCAAGTGGAAAAAAAATGATCTTGGCAGAGGTGAGTGCCTGCTGTTGTGTGGGAGAGGTTAAGAAATCTGAATGTCGAAGTTGGCATCTTCAGGAACTTGTACAATCCCTTGGAGACTCCAAGGGGCATCCAGCTCTTCCCTGTCCTTGGCAGTGCATCTCCCTGCCTTAAAGACTGGTCTCATTCCAGTACAGCCTGGTGACTCTATGCATGGGATCGGGGGGCCCGGGGACATTGCACAGATGTAGTTTAATGGGAATAGTGAGTCTGAAGAGCAGAGACCTCAGTTTCTGCCTGCGGACACTGGACATTTTCCTGACTCGTTTGGCCGTTTTGAAATGCTCTGATGATTACCAGGTACTTTCTGATGCTGGAATCATGCACATAGAAATGCCAAAATTAAAAAAAAAGGTGGCTCATTAGGTGATAAAGCCAGGTTGTATTTTGCTCTGTTTGAATGGGTGCAGAAACACGGGGAATCTTGTCACTCTGTCCTGATCTTACTTCATGCTAGATTTGGAGGCACTGCTGTTCCCCTCATCTCACACCAGTGGGGCACCTGAACTAATGTTGGAACTGAGTAGTGCCAGTCTCTGCTGGCATTGACCAAGCTTTGTAAAGCACCTTTAGATCCATGCTAAGCAAAGTACTTACAGAATCAAAGGATTACTGTTGTTGTGGGATATAAACCACAGAAAGCGAAAAACAAATGCTGCTGTGTACAATAGTAGTGTCTTTATTTTTGCTGTCTGCCTTGTGATAGCCTATGAGAGATGATATTTATAGGAAGAGTAAGTTATTAATTTTAATTACTTATCTCTGTAAACAGCAGCTATCTTAAGATGTTACATTTACTAGAAAGGACTGGGAAATATTGAATAACTTCCCTGTCAATAGCCCACAATAGAATTGTGGTCAATTCACATAGGCTGCTGGACTATTCAGAGCCCCTGATTTGCTGGGATTGCTAGGACAGCACACGACTAAATTCCCTCTAAGACTGAAGGGGAGGAATGCTTAAGCCGATTATCATACTGGCACCTCTCCCATTCTTGCTTTCCAGGATAAAGGATTCGATCTACATGCAAAGGCAGAAGACTGGTAAGAGATCTGTCCTCTCTTGGAGGCTAACGTCTTCCTTAGCCAAACTCTCTCCCTTCGCTTGTTACTGGGGAGGATGCACTTACAGCAGGACAGTAGGTTATGTGAACAAGTGATCTGGAATTCATTTGTGCTGAAAACTGAACCTATATGTGTAAAAATAACAATGTATGTAGATAATCCATATTGACACGGGAATGACACATAAAATATAAGAAATAATATTATTAGCCAGTTATTTTTGCACGACTTTATTGGCTTTATCTGCAGCACAGTTTTTAATCTTTTCTGTAATACTGTATAACAGTGCAGTTGATCATCTAGTTTTGTTGATCGTTAAGTAGGCATACTCTGTGGCCTGCTTCTAGATAAAAGCTAGAAACTTTCCACGCAGCTGTCAGTACTGGCTAAAATATGACAGAATCCAGCCAGCCGATCAGTCAGGAATTGTCTGCAGGAATGACTTTTCTCAAGTTTGCTTTTGATAACTGCTTAGAAATTTCACAGTCCCTCTTTCCATCGTTCTTCCATACAGCTTTGTGTAACTGTTTGGGAGCGTAGGAAAGACTCTTCCTGTAAATGCAATACCTTGTGGAACTGGTTGATTTATTTGTGTTGTAAATTCTGAGACTGTTGATCAATAATATAATTTTCCTGATCTCTGCTCCAGCCCAGACCGCCTTGATATTCGTTTAGGGTTTGACCTCTGTGTGGAGGAGCAAGATTTTCTACTCAAAAGGCAGAAGCGTGTTGCTGCTGCTCTGAAGAAGGTCCTCCAGCTGGAACAGGATCTGCTGGAGCATGAGGTCTGTAGGGCAAACTTCGAAACATCTGAGCGCTTAGCAGTGGGGACAACAGCAGCGAGGACACCGAGTGTGATACTGAATATTCACTATATCCACAGCTTGGGCAGCCAAGAGACACCAAGGATCAAGCCTGGGTTGCACTCACTTGCTCTTCTGTTCTTTACATCAGCCTCTACTGTTGCCTAGACCTTCTCCTCTGTTTTCTCCAAAATGTCTGTTTTTAGTCCCCACAAGCCCTACCCTGGCTAAATCCTGAAATCTACATAACCCTGTCCTGTTTGCATCTCAATGTCATGGGAATGAAGGGTTCTAAATAATCCAGTTTGTTTTAGTATCCTCTGATTTTCTCCTCCCTCTGCCCTGTCACCATCCCATCCAGCTGTATGACTTTTCTTCCAGTGACATTTTCCCTTTGTCCTACACCTTCGTATGTTTCTGCAAGTGTTGCTGTTAAGAAGAGAAAATTGGTACTCTTCCTCTATAATCTGTATCCTCCTTTTTCTCCTTTGTCCCACTTTCTCATGCTCTTTTACTTGCTGTCCATCTCTGATCCTTTCATGTGTCACTACAGTTTGACTCAGTGAAGCTCCTTACCTTTTTTTTCCCTTTGCCACTTCACTCCCCCCTGCATAATCCTGCCTATGGCTATGGCTTCTTTTCCTTCCCAATTCAAATATTTCATGGTCTTTCCTCTCTTCTGACCCTTTTCCCACAGTCTTTACCCTATCATTATCACCCTTGTTGATAATCCTTCCTCTTTTTCCTTGGACCTGTGAGATTTTGTTTTTCTTCCTGCCTTTACAACTCATGCTGTCCCTCTTACTGTTTCTTTTGTCTTGGATGAACGCATATTCTTCTGTTTTGAACCAGACTTCTGTGTTGAACACATTTGAGAGAAGAAGTGTCAGTATTTAATTAAAAATTATTGTTACTATTATTCCTGTCCTTCCTTATTAAATAGGTGGTATATTTGGTTCAGTAGACACTCGATGGAAAGAAGTCTGCGTCTGGGCATGTGAGATGCATGAGTCTGTGCCATCCTGCCCCAGGCTTAGTGTAATAGGAGGGGTCTGTCGAGAGCCTGGCATCCCACTCCAGGTCCACCTGCAGCCTGTTGTTTTACACCAGCCTCCTTCTGTTTGTGTGCTTCACAGGTCCCAGTGGTAGCGATCATGACAACAGGAGGAGGGATGAGATCTTTGACCGCGCTGTATGGCAGTCTGTTGGGCCTCAAGAAGCTCAATGTCTTAGACTGTGCTACATACTTGACTGGCTTGTCTGGTACAACGTGGTGAGTAGGACTGAGCAGCTCTTCTTGCGAGTCTTCTTCATGGCACTGATGCACTGAAGGATGTTAAAGCTTACGTGCAATAGCCAACTTCTAACGCCTTCTTCATAGCCCTATTTTTTGATCTTCTTCTGAAGCTGACAGATTAAAGTCTTTTCAGAGGGGAAAGGTGCACAGTTTGCAACAACATGAAAATAAGCATCTTTTAAAAAATAACTTATGAAAAATTGCTCAAGTTATTCTGACAGGGAATATCAATTTTGACTTTTAAAAGGGAACATGATAGTTTCTTTGGGAACACATATTTTAAGACAGGAAGCTTTTACTGAATTTTAAATCAAAAACTTAAAATAGAAACATCCAATGTAGCTGTTGCTAATTCAGACTTCTTTTTTTTTTTCCCCTCTTCAATATATATTTCTTCTCCTAGGACCATGTCAAACTTGTACAGAGATGCTGACTGGTCACAAAAGGATCTTGATAAGCAAATCAGTGAGGCTCGAAAACATATGACAAAATGCAAAATAAATTCCCTTTCCATGGAGTATCTGCAGTATTACAAAAAGCAGCTATGTCAACGGAAAAGAGAGGGCCGCAAGACATCTTTTATAGATCTCTGGGGGCTTGTCTTGGAATCTTTGTTACATGATGGGGTACAGTATGCCATAAATCAGAGTTTACTGTGGCTTAAAATTTTCTGAAAATTATTTTCTGGAGATAATATTTTCATTTTTGTTCTGAGAAAAGTAGTTTGTTATGAGACTCTATGTGTATGCATGTGCACAGTCATTTTCAAAACATTTGGTGGCAGTATTTTAAATAGCCACCCATGGTGGAAAACGTTACTCTTGCTCGTGAGATTTTGGATTTTTTTTTTTTTTGTGAGAAGACTCCAAAATTAACATTTTGAAAAAACATGGTAGTTTTACATTGAAAATTATTGTCACAGTCTGCAAATATTCTCTTCATAAGTAGTGAAATTGCAGACAGTATCTTAAGGCCCACAATAGAGATTAACATGGTCTACAAACTTGTGAAATATATGTGAAAAGTTTACATAAACTTGCAGTGTTGCACATTAACCTAGCTTATAGCTTAAGTGTTGCTTTCTGTTCTTGATCATTTCCTTCCATTTTCGTCTTAAGGGGTCATCAAATAGTCTAGGATAAGTAGTTTACAAAGAGGTTGCAGATATTTCAGTAATAGGACTCTCATAGGAATTTTGGAAAATACAAAACATTTCAAAGAATTTAACCCAAGCACATGTTATATATCAAAAGGCAGGAATTTTACTGCCATTCAAACTTTAGATGCAGAGAAATCATTCCTGTGCCAATTTTTGTCACAATGTAATTGTATTTCTGGAATTACAGAAAGACAACCATAAACTCTCGGATCAGCAACAGGCAATTGATCGTGGTCAGAACCCATTGCCTATCTATACTGCAGTCAATGTCAAGAACAACTATAGCACTCTGGATTTCAAAGGTAATTAGGAGATTTCTGATTTTTGTCTTTATATTTAAAAGGGTCAATCTGGGGACAGTCTCTTTGGTCTAAAAAAAAGCCATCTCAATTAAGACTAGGACCTCAGCTGACGTATATTGACATCATGTCCTTGAGTTCAGGTGAAATTTTGACCTTTTGCACAGGGAAATCAAAAATATTTCAGAGACTTTTCCTGTTCACTGGTTTTCATTTGTACCACACTCATAATTCATTTCTATTGGTCAGAAATATTAGATTGAACTGTAGAAATCCTTTTCCTTTTTAACTCCTATTATTCCACGTCAACAACATCATTTTTATCTACAGCTGAGGGGCTGTAGTGAAATATTGTTCAATTCTTTACGTTGCTTTTCACAGAATGGGTGGAGTTCACCCCTTATGAGGTGGGATTGCTAAAATACGGAGCCTTTGTTCGCTCTGAGGATTTTGGCAGTGAGTTCTTCATGGGTCGGTTGATGAAGAAGCTCCCTGAATCCCGGATCTGCTTCTTGGAAGGTAAAGTATTGTTTGGAAAACATCTGAATAATTGTTTTTAATTGTGAGATATGTAAATTAAGCACTAATAAAGCACTGGTGCATGACTGGCAGGGCAGTTTCATTGGAGAGAATAAACACCTCCTCTCGGAATTAATACTTAGTGTCACAAATTCAGTTTACTGTAAAAAAGACAAATCAAAGCAGCAAAAAGTCATTTTGATTTTTAAAGCTAATTTTGAATAACAGTATATTACTGCTTCCAGCCCAACAGCAAAATCCAGGACCCTGGGAATCTGTGGTTCAGGTCATGTTACTCCAAAAGGGTGATGTCCAGAGCAGTTTCAAGCATCCCATCTCTTGTCTGTCTCACAGACAGTCTTCTGTGCACTGCCTGTCGACAGTTTATGTGAGCATGCATGCTAACTCTCTAATGCATCAGGGTGTATTGGAGCTTGCCAGGTGCTACCCACTCTGGAGAGTCCGCTTTGGCCACACTGGCTCCAGTCTCCACATAGTCTGGGCTAGGCTGCAGGGAAAACAGTACAGTCATATTCAAAAATATTTTTGCTATTAACTTTGGAAGAGTGTGGATTTCAAGTTACACAGCCAGAATTAAATCCTGAGGCCTAGCCTTTTGCAGAACTCTGAACTAGGACAGCAACTATATAACATTAAAACAAAAACATGTCAAAAATGCATTGCATATTGATCAAATAATGTTTTGCCAGAAAACCATAGGTAATCATTCAACAATGCCATGTTTCTTGAGAATCTAACATCCTGTAGGTAATTATGTATCCCAAAGTTTTCCAGACAGAGAGACAAGTTGATAATTTGTGACTGAGTCAAAATACAGCCTTCTGTTTGACTGGCTACTTAACCAGAGCTGGGGAAAAAGTATACTACTCTAGTGTAAGTCTACATTGAATGTGCATACGTTTGCACTTCCTGAATAAAAAATCGGTGAGAAAATGTGCCATAAGGAATAATCAGAGAAATTATTTCTCTAATTCCAAAATACATCGTCAAAAATTGTTCCCTCAGTGTTAAGAGGCTTATTCTTAGCAAGGGAACTCTACAAATACAGAGGATGGGCTTTGTAGTCTCCAGATGTGGGTTGTGTTCCTCTGAGGGTGCGCAAAAGAGAGGAAAGTTGCTTACATCTACACACAGGGACAGACAGAAATATTTACTAACCCAGTAATTTGGAATGGGGCAGAGGCAAATGCATGCACAAAACAGAAGAAACGGAAAAGGTTCGGATGAAAAATTGTAAGATCATATTGTAGTTAGCTCCTTACCAATATAATACCCCATCAAATCTCTCAGATTGCAATTTCATCCCTTTTTATGTAAACTTTGTTTGTTGTTTTTTATTTCTGGAAACTCAGGCTCATTGAATCACATGAATTCAAAAACATCTCAAATTTCATTAAAAGAAAACGTATCCCTAAGAACCACAAGACAAAAACTGGACACCAAAATAAGGTTTAAAAACCAGCAGACAAATTGAAAGGACAGAGCATCCATTTAAAACAAGCAAAAGAAAAACATAAAACTCATGCATTTTATTTCATGGTAAGTGTTTTCAGATTCATGGTATGTGAATATCTGAGCTGGAAAATTCTTTCCTTTTACAGGCATGTGGAGTAGTTTGTTTTCATTGAATGTGTTGTATATCTGGAATTTGTCCCATTCATCAGAGGATTTCTGGCACAGGTGGACCCAGGACAAAATCGACAATATAGGTGAGTTACCACACTTTTTCTTTAAAGTGCATTTATCATTAGCTAAATTTAATGTTAGATAAATCATCACATCCATCTGCTACGTGACATGTGCACGGTAGATTTGGCATTTTATTTTAAGTGTTTCCTCAGGCCACAGCACCTTTCCAGAAGGAATTAGTTTCAAAGTTCCATCCTGTAAAGCATAATTGGATAATCTATAGATCTCCAATCCTGTTACCTACATGTGCATCGAGGGCTAAACACCGATTCTGGCGGAAGAGTAAAATGTTCAGGAACAGTAGGGTTGATTTGTAAATGATTGATAAAGTAAAAAAGATTCTGACTATGTTAAGTAGGAGTTACTGTACCAGAAATAAGTACAACAGTTATCCTTTTCCGAAGCCTGCATTCAGTCTGTTCTCCAGGACTGTGTGGATGTCTGGTGCAGTTTTTTACTAACTGACTGATACTGGGTCGTGTTTTCTGTCCAGGTCTGGACTGCTTAAAGAAATTTCATTTTCACTTTCATTTTTTAAAAGTGCTCATCAAGTCTTTCCATCCTAGGCCTTTTAAACACCCAAAACACTGATTGATATTACTTATTTTTTATATTCATGGGAATTGCCTTATTCTAAGCAGGTGAAACTTAACGGTCTTTCGTTGTGCAGAGGAAGAGCCTCTTCTACCACTAAAGCCTCATGAGCTGAGGACTCGGCTGTTCACTCCTCCAGGACCCCTTGGCAGTGCTCTTCGCGGTGCCCTTACGGACCGCCTCTCCGTTGCCCAGGAGCACAACTTCCTAAAGGGCTTCCAGATGCATAAGGACTACCTTGAGAACAAGCACTATTGCAGGTGGAAAGGTAAGGGAGAAGTGAAAAAACTGGGGGAAGACCAGTGTGCCCCGGAGAGAATAAACAAACAAAACAAAACAGAAACCCAAGTTCAATCTCAAACCTGTTCTCCAAGGTTTGAGACCATCTCTGGACAATTAGATCCAGGAGTTGTGGTATGCTAGGATGTAGCATGCAGCAGAGCAGAGCTCCATGCCCACGCTACACCGGTGATATAAACCTCCTCGGGCAGGGCCGTGGGGTGCTGACAATAGTCCTGGCTTTCTCTGCGCAGAAGAGATGCTCGGTGGATAGGCACAAGAAACCTCCTTCATGAATGTTGCCACTGCTGGTCCAAACCCCGAGTGTAGTGGGACCTGGGAAGGCAGAACAGCAGTGATGTGGCAAACCACCTTCCCAGAGGGGCTCTGCAGTCATGGTGTAAGGGAGGAAAACAGGCCACCACAGCTGCAGGGTGAGAGCTGAATGACCCTGTCGTCTTAGACAGGTAACTGGTTTTGCACTGTTCCACTTTCAG